CGGGAGATAACCACTTTCAGTTGGTGTCTTCCTTAAAAGAGTGATGTCTTCATCTACCTTCTCAGGTCTGCAGATTCTTCGGGATCCTAATCTCAAAAAATATTTTAATGTCTTCGTTTGAGATTTATGGGTATTCAACTGTAAAAGTTTGTCAACTGGCCACTCCAAGTAGGCTTTCTTAACGCTGACGTGTTCAACATCCCACCAGCCTTCTGTGTTGGCAAAACGTTCAGAAAGGAAACTGTTTGTCCAGTTTTTACTTCAGTTGTAAATTTGATGGCTGGATGGCAACTCCTGAGAACTTGTTGAACATTATTTAGGCCATATTTGTTACCAAAAACGATAAAAGTATCATCAACATACCTTTTGTACAGAAAGAAGTGGTCGATAGTCAACTTCCAAACTTGCCATGAAATATTTGCAAGTCTTGGACTTGGTGATGATCTGATAGCTACTCCATCATGTTGCCATGTTTTATGCTTGGCAGACTAAATACCGGCACATATACAAAAATCTTTCATTCTACCAAAGCGATATATAATACTTCCTGTAATCTGAATTTATAAAATTCTTACTGTAGTCAGTTGTATACATAATTCCAAAAGCTTCAATCAATTTTACCGGTGTAAACCGACTTATTTTACCATAACAGTTATAAGTCTTATGGTATAGCTGAAGTATATTGGTTTCTGTGTTTTTTTAACGGACAAATTAAGTTTCCAAGGCTACATTTCATCCCCGCATACAAGAAAAGAAGTGGAATTATCTAGACTAACTATTGTGCCATATTTTTGATGAGGAAACATAAAAATTCACAAAATTTTACTTCCAACAATGCAACAGTATTTCTGTAGTTTTGAAATTTGAATGGACAACTAATCAAAGGCATGTCTGCTTAGAAACTGTCTACTAACCAACTAAAAAACAACTACGTGGTACCGTTCCAACCTCAACTCTTTTTCGTAGGGAAAAAATAATCTCTCTTGAAGAATAAATAATATTTCTCAAGTCTACACTAACTTCCTTTATGGATAAAATTTTATTTTGATAAAGTCACACAGTGTTATACAGTAATATTTACTGGTGACGTCTTACCATATAAGGGAGGCACATCTGAGACCCTGTGTAGGATTCTCAATGAAGCAGGAATTACGGTGGCATTCAAACCTACAAACTCACTCAGAGACAAGCTCGGTAGGCTAAAGGACCCAGGGGACCCAAATAAACAAAACAATTTGCAAAATATCTTGCAATGACTGCGAGGTCAACTATATAGGTCAAACTAGTAGATCAAGAGGAGTGAGATTATCAGAACATAAGAATTTAGCTAAGGTTGGAATGATTGATCCTACGAAGAAAAGTAATTTAGAAAAAAACATCAGCAATCGCACTGCATACATTAACACACAGCCACACAATGGGGTGGGACAGAGTCAAAATTCTAAAACCTAATATAGGTAGGTGAAGATAAAGATTGATTTCTGAATCCTCGGTCATCGAGTCTACGCCCAACACATGCAATAAAAGTTACTCAAAGCAAATACCAGACATTTGGAAGATATAATTACCACTAGTCAAATCAGAGGATAATAAATAATGTTAAAATATATTTCAATTCATATTATAACATTCTAACAAGTTATTTATTTTACTAAAAAATATCTTATTTCCCATCCTATGGTATTTTATTGACAACACTAATATTGTTTCCAAACGTACTTTATCTTCCTTTCCATTTCACGCAAGTCTTATATTGCTTTTATTCAAATGTCTAATCAATTTTTACTTATGTATATAAACGAAGCAAGAAAGTTATGTCAGTAACTTGATATGATTATTGTCAGTAATAAATTGTGCTCGAAATGTCATCAGTAAATATTACTGTATACTGTTAAAATAAAATTTTATCCATAATAGAATTATACTCAACCACAGTTCCCAAGTTTTATCCTTATATTTACACTGTCTTCTTGAAGTTATTATCGCTAAAAACAGTCAATTACGATGTATTAGTCAAACAGCAGAAGAAGGCGAATAAAGCAAGAAGCTGCCTAGAAATAATATCATTTCTAAAGTAAATCCCAAAGGTAGAACAAATACAAACTTATCGGTCAAATCGGTGACAAAATCCGAATTTTCTGGAAAGCAGAGAGAACCCCAATGGGGCTATCTGTAGCATTCACATCTAAAGCGACTGCCATCGTGAACCAGACAGAGGTGATAAGGGTTAAGCTGGCAGTGCCTCAGTAGTTAGACTACAAAAAAGTGGTTAAAAATGTTCAAGGATAAAAATTAGCAACACCTATAACAGTGAATTAGTTAAGAAACATAGTAAGGCATACTGCCTGAATACTCTTGAAATAAGTACTGAAATCACATCCTCTGGAAACTGTACTAAAGATAAAGTCCAGCCTGATACAAAAAACAACAAAACTGCAAGGTGTTAGTCTTTTGTCAGAAGCACCAAATTCATTAGAATGCAGCTGTTAATAATCATGTTTTATCTGTAAATTATTCAATATAATTTCCAGTGATTAGAATTAAAGGATGAAGATATCTGGTGTACATTACATGCTTGCTGATGTTTGATTAGTAAAGTATACTTTCTGTAATATTTGCTGCTTATTGTTGATGCTTCTAACTTCTACATGAACATAAATTTCATTACAATTAGAGATATGTCCTACCGATAAAATGTCAACCGACGTAAGGCTAGATTAATCGATTTCGTGCTCCGTTCCTTTGAACACAAGCTAGTTCTTTTCTAGAGACTAGATCTCATCAGATAAAAGGTCTACTTCCAAAATTTTGTAGCTTGTCTCAACAGCTCTAACCTGGATTAATTTTGTTGTGGTGTAAAACAGTTTAATCCAAATGATTGGATAACAAAGTGAGTAGTTAGAATCTAACCGGTATCAGCATTATGCTTACCAGTATGCAACTAATGTAGAGTTATTTTTTCAACTGTTAAATAATCGCCAGTATTACTTGTCATTTTCACTGTCTATTTTTAATTTTTTACGGACATTTTTAAGTTTTTCATGTACGATGTGAGATAACGAGTGCTTTGTATTTGTGGTATACCTTAAATCTAAGTGAAAGGTGACTATGAAAAAAGGAGACAGGAAAGATGTGGAGGCGAATTCCTTGTCCTGCTACAGTTAACTGAAGGAGTTAAATATTTTTATATCACAGCATTTCTGCTTCACTGGGACCTATCAACCAGCTTAGCTGTAAAGACTAAGTGTAGCTCCTTCCCTTTTCTGTTTAGATAAAGTGTACAACTAAGACATGGAGAAAAATGCCAGGGAGTGATTGATTTTACACCATAGTTAATTAACATTATATTATGAAGCACTTTTCTTTCATTTATGGATTGAAAAATAAGGAGTACTGATTAGCTGTTCCATCCTAGTTTAGGACACTTCAGTGGTGGGCAAACACCCGGATGTGGAAACAATAGGATCATGCATCTAAACCAATATATCCCTACTTACTCAATCTGCTATTCATTATCTTTATCTGCTGTCTACTCGAAGACTTTTAAAGCTGTTTATTATTACCTATGAAGATTGTTTATCTTATCGAATCCAAGAAAAGGTGTACACTTTCACTTTGGAATATTCACTAACTTTTTTGTGGTTGATTTTTTCTTCCTGTCTTTGCCTTACTCTCTATTTTCCTGTCTCTGACTCCTCTCCCTTCCTTTCTAATTCTGTTCCCCCTCTTTATCCACAGTGATTATTGCCTAACATGTGTGTATGTGTACCTATGCATGTGTGCATATATTTCGCAGAGGAATCTAAGCAAAAGAATGACAACAAAGTAGAACGGTAATAATAGAGGACAAAAAAGCATTTTCTATATTAATGTGAATAGTAAACACTCTTTTGCTTTGGAAAAGAATGGAAATCAAAAAATGAAAATCCTGTTCAACTTTTTTAAATTTTTCTATCCTCATGGGTTTTCAAATTCGGTAAGCTTATTCTTTCTTCTTCTTTTGCTTGTCTTTCTTTCAGTTGGGAATTAAAGCAACCAATCACTGTGTATCACATAATCTTAACACCGATTGGTCGCTTTATGATAGTAATGGTAAATTTCTTCCTATGTACTTCCTACATACGCACACACGCACAAACTTACACGCCATTTACTTTCGATGTGTAATAGACGAATTAGAGAACAAACTCCAGTCAAAACTCGTTCGTCATTCATATCCACTTTCAAATTGTTCTCTCAAAAAAAAGTGAATTTTATTCAACACATATCGTACTTGCAACATTGTAAACTGAAACTTTAAATAATTCTTCAAATTCATCAATGTAAAAAAAGAAACATATCAATATATGCAGACAAAAAAGTAAAAGATTCTATCAGTTACTCTTTAATAAATATAAGTCGGTTAGTCAGTTCCTTTTATTCATCATGGTAGACAAACTGACTTAGTCAGAATTGTTCGCTGTGCTAAACATTCACTTCGTGTTCAAAACGTAAGTGTAAAACATTTTGTTGTAACTGTTAATCTTGTTCATTAGTCCATATTTATTTATTTACCTATCAATCACCTTGTTTCTAGTTGTCGATTTAATTGAAAAAATTTGAAATATTAAATCAAAAACTTTTTGCTTATCATGTCACCGAAAATTGTGACCTGAAAAAATAATTTAAATATTAAAATTGATAACTCGATTTTATTAAGTCATCTTTTTTGTACGTTAGTGTCAATGAATAATAATTTAGTATAAGTGAGTCAAGAAACTACATTGTTTAAGTTTATGTAGCAAATTTAGTGAAACTGAGGTTGAACACACTGACACTGGACAAATTAAATAATGTCAAGTTTGAAATATCTATGGGCACCTTCAGCATTTGTTCTAAGCAATTCACTAGCATTGAATACATCCAATGCAAATACATTTAATTCGTCAAGTTCTTCATCTTCATCATCATCATCATCGTCTTCCTTTTCTTCTGATATTTCACACCAGCTTGTTACTTCAATGAATTCAATAAACCCCAACGATTTAGTACATTCAGTTACAAATACATTAACACCAATGCCATCCTCATCGTCATCATTGCAAAACGTACAGGATCTAAATTCAAGTCATATTCAAACTATGAACCATAATAATAATGTGAATCGTAATTTCAGTTTTCACCAAGTGGATACCTACTCACACAACGAAACAGTGAACAATAACTTTACACATCCTCATGAACAGCATCAGCCACAGCAACATCGTATAGAAGTCGACGAATTTAATTCAAGAACTGCAAATAAAAATCTCCACAAATCCTCATGGTCGTGTGTAGATAATATTGATAATCATTCTATTCCTATGCCTTGTAATAATTATGATGATGTTTCCAGGTGTCAGTGTGCTGTGGTCGCTGCAGCAGCAGCTGCAAGTTATGCACGTTCTTGTTTATACCATGGTGTTGCCATGGCTGCGGCGACGTACAATAATTTCGATCCTCAATCTTTTAATTCTTGCAATTCTGCATCTCTCAGCAATTTGTGTACAAGAGCTACTTCGTCTCCTACTTCTGATTCCTTGGTTACGTCGATTACTTCAACCGCTATGTCGAATATGAATTCGTTATACCAAAGATCATTTTGTACACAGTCGTCTTCACCGTCATCATCATCGTCCTCATTGTTATCATATTCTTCTATTCAAAATCAGCGTGAATATCATCCGTTTTATTTCCCTTCAACACAACAAGCTAGTTCAATGTTTTTGCCTACTACATGTCAATCATCTTTATTCGGTGTCACCTCGTTGAATTCTTATCCGCATACAAATTATAATCAAAATCATATTCCTAATTCTAATTCAAATGCTGTTCTAGCTGCCGCAGCTGCACATAAACATGTGCAGTACTTTCAAGGTATTTACTCTCGAGCCAAATCAAGTAAAGCTAAAGGTAATTTGCTGTTTTAGTTAAGTAAATATTCAGTAATGATTATTATGAGTTAAAAATTCATTTACATTGTGTTGTTAAAAATTTCAAGTGTTGGAAATCAATGTTCAGTGCACAAAAATTCATGGTTATGGCCCGAAGGCTTCGTATCTGAAGTGATCAGGAAATCATATTCCACCATAATATAAATGCATTCACCTGAAGGGAATCAGACGTACTTCCTGGAATTCAATATCTAGGAACATTTTCATTTAAAGAGACATCAGAGATTTCCTTTATCTTTTTTATTCTCAATAAAAAGAACATCACTGCATCCATATTATTAGAGGAAATGTTGTGCCACTGTTTCGATTTTTGTAGAGACTTAAATTTCCACTTCACTCTCTGTCATCACTATTTACGTTGGTATAAGTTTGTCGAACTTAAACTACCTGAGAAGATCTTAAGAGAGGTTCAAAGTGAGATTATTTTTTTAAAAAAACAACCAGAACTGTGAAAAAATGCTTTAAATAACTTATCATTATGGTTCATCACGTTATATGTTGGTGTAGTAATCTCTGTGTGACTCACTATCCAACTTTTATACTCAGTTAAACTTCTAGAATATTTAGTATGAGATAGTGACTACTAAGCCTTGATATTCCGAACAGGAAGTCAAAAATATACATGGATGACATCGTGCTTCGGGTACATCATTCTTGACAAAATGACTGAAATCGAAGTATATCAGTTGACTTGGTATTTCATATTTAGGATATAATTGCCATGTATTCTGCGTAATATGCGTTGTATAGAGATTTTAAATTAATACGAGTGCTGAAACACTTCATCAGTCATTGATCAACTTGCGAGGAGAACATTTATCGAAGTTTTTACCTCAGTTCTAAGTCATTCTGACAGGAAGACTAATTAACTTATGATGTATCACTGGAAATGTTAATAAATTTTCTTACACAGTTTAGATTAGTCGAGACAGCTGATTACTTCGTTGCAAGTAAAGTGAATGAGATATATTATTACAGGAGTTACTTAGTTTGATCAAAACGAGGACTACTGGTTTGAGTCATTAGTTTAAGGACTATTTCTTTCAGCTTTATAAACGACAAGTATGAAACCGTCATTTACATGAAGGATGACTAAAGCGTAAGATGAAGTTAGGTAGTAAGTGGGTGTTAATTAATCACATCTGAGGTTATTGACACTGTGCTCAACTAAGTGAACTATTAGGCATGTCTTTTGTTGTTATTAATATGTGTATAAATCAGGATACCAACCAATCATCAGTCAGTTGCATTAGTGATTTAATTTATTTCTGGAAATCAGAATATGATTTTGCAACAAGCGTGATTCAAAATAAATATCTGCTTATCCCTCATTCGCTTGACAATCAGAAAAAAATACCTAGCTAGTGAACTTCGGTGAAGTATAGTTATCGTATAAAAGAATGACAATTGTACTTAAAACGAGAACTCCCATTACAATAAGATTTTAAAAATCACCTTCAGAATTACCCATACTGTGCACTAGCCAATGGTCGACATGATTTAATTGCCGCCTTGTTCACTGAGAGATTGCTTCAGATGTCATGTGGAAAATTTATCATAATGCCATCCCCTGAACGAAACCCTTTCACGTGAATTAGGATAGTAATCATTCGAATCCTACTGCAGTTCAGTTTTTTCCTATGATTTCAGTAGTCACCCGAATAAGTCTACAGCATGTTGGCTAAAGTGAGTGTATTTAATTTGCTTTTACTGATACATATATCTATGATAATTAGAGAACATAATTTAAGCTTAAATCGCGTTTCAATAATTATCATAATAGAAACATTTAAATTACATATCTATAGATTGAATTCCACAGCCTCTTCAGAAATAGATCTAGACTGTAGATTTCTAGGCCCAGCCTCACAACTACTTAGATTTATATCCATTTTCATGACTAGAAAATCTGTACAAGGTGTCTTTTTATTACTGTTTTAAAAATAACATGTTATTTTGTACACGTGGTATACCATTTTAAAGTTTTGAATCATCTGTTTGATTGGTTGGAGGATTTCATAATGAGATGACAACAGTTAGCGAACCATTGGGAAACCTGGGACTACCGTTAAAATCGTGTTCATGGCCTTAACTGAATTTGAAGATATGATATAAATCAACTAATGTATGCCTAGTATACGGTTGACTAGTTCTACTGAGATTTTCTGATGACTATTTGATTGCTTGTAGTGTTGTGTTACAAACAGTGATTTATATGATCGATAAGGAAAAAAACTTGAGTGATACTAACTGACCCGCTGTCATGTATTCAAGGGATTGCCACTCATAAAAAAAACTGCATTAGTCTAACAGGCTCCCACTAAAGTGATAAAAATGAAATACTGAACAACTGTTCACCACCTTTTTTTCTTGATTTTTTTATTGAGTTGTGATGAACAATGAAAACTGTTTGACGTACATATTAATATATATGTAACACTTGGGCACTGTGGTAGTAAGTAATTCCATATTAGGTTGTTTATTAGATATGTCACACAGTGAAACAACAGTATTATTTACTGGATGACGTTTCGAACAAAATTTATTGTTCATAATCATATCAATTATAATCACACGACTTCGAAACTTTAGTTTTATAGTTTTCTCTGTTCTCTCCTATTTGTCGTAGGGGTAGTAGAATTCTCCAGTTATCTGGGACAGGTGTTGAATCATTCCTTTCACAATTGTCTGCAGTTGATTCGACAAACAAAGCTTCTGTTATCAATCTCTCACTCCACCCTGTGACATTAGATTTTAAAACTGCCATCTAATTCCATTCTATTGTATGGTGTGTGTGTGGCGGACAATCTAAATATAAAATATTTAACAAAATAGTAAATCACTAAGAAAGAGAAATTTGTAGAGTTTATCAGGCAGTCAATAAATTTTTACAAATATATATGAAGCTGGGTTTCTATTTTTAAAATGATAAATTCAATAAATTCATTAAAACAAAGATGTTTTTTCCATGTAGATTCGTGATTTTTTTTAAAATATTGATAATAGAGCCTATTATTCATTATTGTTTCAGTTGAATTCTCCATTCTACAAAAGTACTTTCTTAGGATTATCTTATCGTTAGCTTATAAATGTAACTCCTTAGAGAGAACAGAGTAGACAACTGGAGCTTGAGTATAAGTGAACGTTTGTCCGTTTTTGTGTTATTTACTAGTTATACCTCTGAAATGAATATATCGATACTAATATTTCTAGATACTATACTGTTAATTTCTTAACAACTGCTACTGATTTGAGGAACAACAGCCTGCAAAATTTGGGCTACGGATGCCACCTGCTGAAAATTCCATACTTTTACCAAAAATACGGTGTCGAATCAAGCTTTAATAAAAATTTTATAAATAAAATACAGTTTTCTTCGTATTTCACTTTAACTAATCATTCTGAATTTAAGCCGAATGAGCAAAGTAGTGTCTGTCAATTTGCCTGAGTTTTTACCATACTCTTTGTATCAAAATTGTTTATAGATTACACTAGTATTCGATGTATATTCAATATCTCTTTATTGTATCATTTCAACTAAAGCAGGTGATATGATTTGGAGCAATAAATTAACTACCGTGATATCATACAGTAAATAATGCTGCGTGATTAGATATGATAACAAGTAAACAAACATAATGTGGAATTATGCACCGCTACAGTGTGCAAGTACTTTTTCAAACAAATATGTAATGCCAAAAAGGTGTACATTGGTACCACATCTCATAGTTTAGTGATCACATCACAGTAGGTTGATCGTTAGATTTTGATCAGCGTTAAGGATTTAACGGTTTTAAGCATTACCTTACAGTGACCAATTCGAGTAAGTAATACTAGGAATCATATACTTTCATTCATTTGTTTATTTTTATTAAAGAATTTGTACAAAAGCTGTGGCAGATTAGATTTTTAAACATCTGTACTAACAAATGTTCTATTTGGGCATTTTCATGACCTTTTACAGCAGTACATAACTATACAGATTTGAATTGAAGTTGTAAAAAGAATATTCTTTGTTGACCTGTCTTTAGATTTAGAATTGTGACCTTTTTCTCTGAGCAAAATGAATTTGTGGTGAGAAAGAATTCTTGATCTACCCAAACACGGGTAAGTGGAGGAAAATAAGCTAGCACTATATACGTAACACACAGGCATACCTGATAGACTACAAATTATATGTTCATAGTAGAACAGCTGATGCCTGAAAGTAATAGTAACAGTCTTCAACACATTTTAAATACTTTGACATGAACCACACAATATTCCTATTGGCACAATCAAGCAAAAGCACTTTACATCGGGTCGCATTTGAGGCATGCATCATACTTAATAAGTTAATTATTTTAAGAAAATCAGATGCTATAATCGTCTATTGACATCTACGAGTCAACATGACTGCGAAATTCAAACCAATTTAAGTGACGTTGTAAATCTAGTATTACCATATAGCGTTTGCTTCAAGTTTGAGGCCTGTCAACATTGAACACTTAAGAATCATCATACATTTATTTACTTTAATAAATTTGAATAAGGCTAGAACAACAGTTTTTGCAGAATAAAATGGTAACGTCATTTATTTCATTAACTTCTCAACAACTGCTTACAGCCCAGAAATATTATTAAGTATATCTACAGAAACAATTTTAACATACTCGCACGGAGTTCATTTTTAGACAAAAAATCAATCAGTATATGCATACAGTGTTAATAATAGTAAACATTTTATCCGTAGGGAAAACTGGCATTGGTAGAATGTTCGTGGTAGAATGTTCGCCAACCACGCATGTGGTTTGGGGCTCAATACCCGGCCGACGCATTCCGTAACCTCGCTAAGGCAGTAATAAAACTGGTAAAAAGGGAAGGTTGGGCATGAAGCTAGCAATCTCATCCCGTAAAAAATAAACACTGCCACCGAAATATCAAACCTATAACTTGAAGCTCTAAGTTCCATTGGGAACG